TTCACCTCACTCTTCTAGCTGCTCCATCTTCACCAGTCGTCTTCCACATTGTCGGTCTGACAAACAAAACAAGCCGGTAAGAGGGCAATCAGAGGCCTCCTGTCTGCGCTCATCTACAATATTGGAGAGGTGCAGCAGAGTGTCTGCAGAAGGGGCGGGGCATATGTGCATTCACTGCGACACACACACAGACAACCTGGTTTCTGAGTATAAACCAGGCTTTCTGATTGTTTGAATTAATCTACGAAACATAATATTGTAGCTAAAAATGATCTCATGTCTTCCTCATGATATTTGCACCTCTGGTCAAGCTCACATACTTCCCATAAACAGGGAAAAAGCAGTGTTGGAAAAAAGACAAAAAGCTAGCTGCATTCCACCTCAAAATGAAGGAAATAGCATTTAGAGTCTATATTTCAGTGTTTTTTTCCAATGGAGGATACCCCCAGACTCCACCTACACCACACAAAGCCTTAAGATGTGATATACCAAGGTGGACACCCTCACTAAAAGTCTGATCAGCCATCATAAAATGTTTGTACATGTTTGTCCTGGGGTTCCATCGTCACTCAGGCCTGGAGCCTTAGACCTGACAGCTCCTGAAAGCACCTGAGATGTGAAATAATCAGCAACGTGTTTTACCTTAATATGTCCCTCATTAAAGCCACAGGCTTTAGTTTAGCAAATAATCTTTCAGTCATCCACGGGGAAATGATTTTGAAATACCACTTTTCTGTATATTTCCATATGGTGGCATTTTTTTAAAGGATCGTTACTAAATTGGCTCCCATCTGCCAAAGCAGTCTGTGTGTGTTTTCTTCAGTGCCTTTTCTGAATGAGGATATAGCGGAAACCAGCAGATGATCAACACATTGCAGTTCTCTGGTAATTTATCATGCAAACGTCGAGGATTAAATCTGCCATGGTGTGTCAAACAGCCAGACTACACAACATTTACAGACGGGTCCTGCTGATAAGCCGGCTGCAAGAAAGGCCTAGCAATAAAACACTGCTGAAGTGGTTTCCTGCTAATATAATTCATCATAAACGTCTTTATTGTGAGCAAAGTGGAACCCAAGTCAAATTCCTTCTTTGTGTGCACAAATGTTTGCAAAAAAAGCACAGCCATTTTGGTGTCAGTGGAGCTAAATACAACCTGATAGGTAAAAATTGGGTTGAACCAACCTGTAAATTCACTAATATGTAATTAATTCACACTGAAATTCATGTTTATGCAGGTGAACAATTTAAAGGTAGAGGATGATCTTTTATTTCTGGGTGGATCATCTCAATCAGTGGTCCTCCTAACTGTCAATCATTCTGGTAATATGTTTGCGTAAGGCCGTCCTACGTTCTCATCCCGGTAGCTATGTTTTTCTTTCAGGCGTGTATCTGTGGTGAGCTACGGTTTCAGTCATTAAAGCTCACCTTTCTCACAGCGCTTCTTTGAAAATGGCCGAGGGTCGGAAGAGAGAAAGTGTTTACGAAGTGTATGAGAAGAAAAGAAAGGTCTCAGAAGAGGCAGATATATCCCAGAATGCTTTGCATAGAGACATAAAGCCTTCTACACCAAACCATGCTTCTGCCGCCCTGGCGTCCTCTTCCACAACTTCTTCGTCCCCGCTTTCCTCCTCTAAATAAAAATGGATAATGGAGGAGACTCATCCACGACCGCCGACACTAAACTCTCCTCCTCTTGCATGTTTCCTCTGTCCATAGCGTTCCTTGACAGTGTTGTTTCTAAGTCACCACTTTAGTGCTACTTGGTCCCAATGGAATTTCCCATTGGGAACCTACTAGCACTAAGTTGCTAACTGGTTAGCAAGATGCTTCTGACAAACCGGCCACAACCAAACATGCTTGCAAACCTTTTGCCACAACAATCCCGCCCCCTTGATAAACGACCAATCACTTTCACTTTAGTCACTTGTGTAAAGTTGTGCACCACTCGGGAGAATTTGGAAATGCAGCCGTTGGAACAGCTGCTTCCCTACGGCTTTAATGCAGTGGATCAGGTGTTCACAAGACTGAATATTTCAAACCTATTAATAAGCACAAATACCACACTAACCAATGCCTTTGTCATTGTTATGGTTGTTATGGAAACAGCGGCAGTAGTGACAGTATAGCAACAAAAGAGAATATGAGAGTCAACAGGTGATAACTCCAGTGCTATAAAATATTTCATTACCTCCCAGCTTTGAGGTGAATCTGTGTTGGCCCTGCGTTGGTCCCCAACCGGATGGGTTGTGCAGAGGTAAATTTCTCCAGAGTGAGAACAATAATTTTCAATTATTATTATTATTATTGACCACTGACTGGGACAGATGACCCGATCACATGGCCTCACATTACCCATCTGTCATTTTTACCCAATGAATCTAAGACTGTTTCTGTGACACAGATGAAAAAATATCTGTCTGCACACTATAATTAATGCCTTTGTTTTATGGTTTTAAACTTCCCTTTTATCTAATGGTCCTCAGTATGTTCCAGTCTACCCAGTATCTGCAAATATGAGTGCACATCATTCCCTCGGTCGCCTTCGGAGGCTCTGCAGCCTTTATATAGGCCATCAGAAGTAGAGTAGGCTAATTAGCATTCAGTCCCAATATAGAGCAGCACAACAGTCCACCATGTTGTGAAATGTTGCTGAGGAAATGCCGTAAAGGTTTCAGGAGAAATAAAACAGAAAGAAGATCCTTTTTAAAGAGGTGTTTCTCACTTTACCTTGACTCAAACTTATTTTTTATCTGAACTGCAGTTTAAAAAGAACAGAGGTTCATGATCGGTGCTGCGGAGTCGACAATGGTGAAGAAAAACCTGGATGATTTACTGTTCTGTCAAATTCTGGATTTCTTTGACTTCTAATGATGTATGGTGCTTCTTCTCACAGCCCAAAGGCATCCATGATTTCAGGATTTCAAAATTTGGCAAATTGACTGATCCATCAACTCCAACATTATGCAACCAGAGTATATATATCAAAGAATCAATGCAGTTTTAAAACAAGTAACTTAGGATTGTTTAAAATGTGCACATATAAATTAAAAAACATTCTAAGCTAACAATAAAGCTGAACATACACTTAAGCACACTTTGTGCATTTTCTGCATTTCCCATGACAAAATGGTCAGTGGATGCCCCATGTTTGTTAGCTTTCAGAATTCATTTAGAATTCTGACGTTTTTCTCGGAATTCTGAGATTAAAGTCATAATTCTGAGATTAAAGCCATAATTCTGAGATTAAAGCCATAATTCTGAGGAAAAAAAATCAGAATTCTGAGGGGGAAAAAGTCAGAAATCTAATATTAAATTCATAATTTTGACATTAAAGTCAGAATTCTGAGAAAAAAAAAATATCAGAATTCTACAATTTAAGTCAGAATTGGGAGGAAAAAAAGTCAGAATTCTTTTTTTTTTTCTCAGTGGCCCTAATCCTTTTCCGTAGTTATTTTTATGAAAAATGAGCACTGTTATTTTATTCTTCCCTTCACATAGCTGAATATAGATGAAAAAAAGAAAACACGAGCGTTTGCTTTGAAACAGGAAGCTGACAGCAGTGTCTACTCGACGAAGGTACTTTTTATCAGTTTGATTAAACGGTATAATTCAACATGGAAAAAACAGAAAAACGGCCGTTTTCTCCTTTTTCTCCTCAGAAAACGATTCGTTTTCCCGTTTTGTGGTTTCTGCACATAAAACCAAAATCCAATAAACGGCTTGATTTTTGTTTTTTCGTTTTCGCCCCCAAAACGGCAACACCAGTCAATTTTCGGTTTCAGAAGTGGGCGTGGCTTTCAAGCCCGCCGGTCCGGTGCCCTTCAAAATAAAGGCATGGCATGGAGAAACTTTCGTTGTATTTCCTGCCCTCATCGTAGCTTTTGCTTGTGTTCGAAATTAAAGCAGGTCTTATACATATATAAATATATACATATATTTAGATGTAATATATATTTATATTTTTTATAGCTACAGGGTTTACTGAGAATAAAGTCATCAGAGAGATTTAACTGCGACAGAACAGACATGGTAAATTTGAAACACTCACGACAGGTATTTTAAATGACCAGTAGATGGCGCTGTGCATCAATGGGACAATGAATCGCAATATCAAGCGTATTTTACCACCTCATAGTCAATAAATGGAACATTTATGAAACGGAGTGCTGTGTGAGGAACTTCATTTTTGTGGAAATCTGGAATTTTTTTAGAGATATATCTGGGAAAACAGATAATAAAAACATAAGTGAGGTGAAAAAAATTATCCCTGCATTTCCATGCCTGAGATGTTTGTACCTCTACGGCAAGATATTATTCTTATGTAAATACATACTGATAGGATACTATGCAAACTCATTTTTAACAGTCTTGCCGGGGCTGGGTGATTTGATTCTGCGCTGGCACATTGTCCTGCGCTTGAATTCAGATGTGCATAAAGGTACATGTTGATTCGCACTTTTTAGTCGCATATGAGGGGACATGTAACATCAGGGGCTTTGGCTCAGACCCGTCATTTGTCCTTGTCCCTTTACAGTCTTTACGAATTAATTCCGTCCGCTCCAACAAAATCTGAGAACGGGAAACTGAGTCTTTGGCATGCGTAATTACGCAGAGCATCCTGCGCAATAGAGATTTGTCTGATCAAGGCAGCGATTGAGGTGACAAACCTGTCGCTGTGAAAGGGGATGAAAATTATTATAAACGTTAAGAGGTTAGAAGTGAATGAATGAAAAAAATACTTTTTGTTGCAGTAAATTCTATTAGAATAACTATCATTCTAATTTATATTTTAAGATTCAGTAAGATCTAGAGTTTGTCAATATTTTTAAGTAATACGTGAATTATATAGTTAGTGAGATGTATTTAGGTTTCCTTATACCATTAAATATGAATTATTGTATGTACATACACTTACATTCTAAACAAACTTTACTATGAAAATGCAGGGGTTTGAGACGTACGCACAACGCATGCGCACTGTGGCTACAACAGGACCGACTTTCTGTGTCCAGACGTCTGAGGATCACAGAGCTTAAGTCATTTCACAGGTAAGTTATTATTGTTCTGTTTTATTTATTATTGTTCTAACTGTTTTTTTAATTTTAATCACAGATAAAAAGTTATTTCACTGTTTGTAGGACCTATTTTCTCATGTGGCCCTTAAGCATTTAACTTTGTTAAGCTGTAACTATGCTTAATGAATAATTTTTAATTAACTAATTCATGCTCCGTTTGAACATGTAAATTTCAATCAAAATATAGTTGTACTTGTAAATCTTTTGTTAATTCAGATCAAAGAGGAATTCAGGAGAACAACAACCATTCCAGTGGATCAAACCAGGCAAAAACTTGACAAATACACACGAAAGCTGATGAAAGCCAGGGGAGGAGTTTTGGGGCCCAAGACGAGTTTGCTCCTGGACCAACTGAGTCAGGTGTGCTTGTTTATATGTTTTACAGGGAGATGGACCTACTTTTTTTCTGATTCACAGACAGACCAAATTCTTTGGCAATGCAGTAAAGTGTTTCATGTAGATTAACAGGACCATCCCAGTATTTTTCTGTTCTTTGTGCTCTACTAGGGATGTAACAATATTACAATACTACTCTACCTACCTCAATAACAAGCCTGTGACATTTATTGCATTGTAAGACACCATTGATATATCAGCATTGACGTAACTTATTACTTATATTACTTATATTTATGAAATAAAATACAATGTCTTGCTGCCCTCAGCTGCCTGTCTGTCCCCATCTCACTGACTAACTTTGCTCCTTCTCCATCGCTCCCTCAGTCACCCACTTCATCTCGCTTTTTCTCTGATATCTGGTCACACAATCGGTTCAAGACACCCCTAAGTCTTAAACTTCCCTCACATGCTCATTGTGTATTTATAATGCTTATGTTTATGTTCTTAATCTGTTCACAGAAACAGAGCATTGAGGTGAGAAGAGAAGCCATTATCTCCAGCCTTATACTGTACCATGGGAAGAAGGAATATGACTTTTTTAGGACTGCTTGGTCATGTTTTCAAACATTTAAAAATAATTTTGAACAAGGGGTTCATTTAAAGGGACATAGTGTTTGAAAGCACATATAAAGCCTTAAATGGCCAAGCTCCATCTTATATCAGAGATCTGATTGTTCCTTATGTTCCTAACAGAGCACTTCGCTCTGTTAGGCTAGGCTTAAAACTTTCCTTTTTGATAAAGCTTATAGTTAAGGTGGCTCAGGTTATCCTGAGCTATCTCTATAGTTATGCTGCTATAGGTTTAGACTGCTGGAGGACATAGGGACCCCCATTTCGTCATTCTGCTTCATTCTCTCTCTGTTCTCCTATTCTGCAGAATCTGTTAGTTCAATCTCTAACCTTCTGCTCTCTCTGCTTTTCCTCAGAGCAGCTTTGCCTCGTCTGTTCCTGTTTGGCTGTGACGTCATCCTGGAAAGAAACATCAGCTGTGCTGCTTCCATCAACACCCTTGTTTATAGATGTTGGAGATCGGCCTGTTTTCCAGTGTGGTCCTGTTTTTCTGACCGTGACTGAGTGGATGTGCTCTCTTCGTCCTCTGGCATGGGAGCTGCCTTGGAGCTAGTCTGCCTGGCTGTGTGTTTCCTGGACGGGGCCGCCTTTTACAGCTGCTTTTTGTATCTCTGCTTCTGTCTCCTTGAACCCCAGTGGGCCTCAGCAGATGGCCGCTCACACTGAGAATGGTTCTGCTGGAGGTTTCTTCCTGTTCAAAGGGAGTTTTTCCTCTCCACTGTCGCTACAAGCATGCTTAGTGTGAGGGATTGTATTTGAGTCAATGAGTCGATGCAATCAACTGGTTTTCCTTAGATAGAAAACTTTGTATCAATTTGACTGTATGATCTGGTTGAACTGTAAAGTGCCTTGAGATGACATGTGTTGTGAATTTTGCGCTATATAAATAAACTGAATTGAATTGAATTGAAAGTGATTCATAAATGGGTAATTATCGCAGCATGTTACCATTGTGAAATTTCTTTCAGACACTCCGGCTAGGTTTAGGTTTCCTGCTTTATTTTATATAGTTTTTAATATTTTAAATTCAAATATTGTATAGAAAGAAAGAAATGCATGGAAACCATCTGTGTTAGACCGCTGTCTCACATCAGATGGGATACCCTCACAGCACAGGGGAAGAAGCTGTTTCTGAGTTTATTAGTTTTTGATTTGATGTTTCTGAAGCGTTAATCTGTAACAATATCTAGTATAAGTCATTTTGCCTTATGTAACTGTGGTGTAAATAATTGTATGCTGAAGTTATTGGCTTGCTACAAGAGTGATTGATTTGTAATGTTTGTATGTTACAGTTTACAATGGCTAAAGCGATGGCAGTGGTCAGAGGCCACTCTTCAATAAACAACTGAAAAGAGAAAGAGGTTTGGTTATTGGAGCGTCATTGTCTGGCTGTCTAGCCGGCTGAAAAGTTGGGAAAACTCCGGGCGAGGACAGCACAGTGATGTCAGTAACTCTGTTTTCAAAATCTGACAGCTATAAGATTGTCCCAGGATGCAAGAGTACAGCGAAAGCTTGTCCACTGCTTATGGGACTGATTTATGCCCTGAACTGTGCATACCCTCCTATTTTGTGCTACACTTTTAAAGTCCTCTAAGAACTCTTGCTGGAGATGGAGAAATTTAAACTCTACACAAAAGAAAACACCCTGAAGTGAAAGTTACTGTCATGATTCCGTCTTCCTAGAGGAGGAAAATATTTCTGTAATGAATGTTTTAACTCTGACAGTGTTGTAAACTTTTCACTACATATTTAAAAAACACTGTTCCAGTTTGAATGTAAAATTTATCACTGCCCCATAAAGAAATGTAGAAATTGAATTCACACTACTAGTGGAGTTACTTATTTGTGAAGCCGTTTCTTTAATGTATAGAGTATTGCTTCATTTTATTTGTAAACGTTTATCCAGAGACAACTGGCATCAAATATATTGTTTTAGTGCGTAGTTTAACATAATGCAAAAAGTAAAAAATGTTTACTTTAATTTCATGTCATAATTACATAAATTGCCTTTAAACCTTAATGGCACATTACTTAATTATGTACAAAAACTGGAAATATGTTATGTTCTATTGTAAACTTTAAGCTATTGCCTTATGTAACTAGTTTTTACATTTCATTCCACTTTAATAAAACTTTGTCTTAAATAATGCTGTGAAGTTATTGAAATGTCAGCCTATGGTTCAGCTTGAATAAGTTTGAGATATTTAAAAAACATTTTTGCCTTTCTAAATAACTTTAACCTGGGCATTTTTTTACCTGTATGGGAGGTCTTTGAACTCCAGAAATAATATGACTTCTCTGCAACTGTCAGGAGAGAGAACTATACTGTCATTTAGTAAAATAATACATTTTGTTTTGCCATTAAATTTGGTAATTGTTAGTGCACCATCTCAACGACTGTTTGATCATGAGCTATTCTAATGTTACAACACACTGGTGGTGAACACTTAATTGTCTCTTCAGTGGTGTAGAGAGGGTGTGAACAGGTCTTCACTTACAGCAGCTTGTGCAACATCCTATCTAGACTCGGCTCTAACATCCAGAGCTATTCACAGCACAGAGCCAGTTTCTTCAAGTCTATTATTATTTATGTTTTTGGAGGTTTGTTGTTTTGGTCTTGTTTTGCCTTGTTGTATAACTTGTGACAGCTTTGCAGTGTTAAAGGTAGTTTGTTTGTCACCAGGTTCTGTTCTTATTTTACCTTTATGTCTAGCCTCTTCAAGACCATGCTGAATTTCAAATATGTGACAACACAATTTTAATTTAAAATATGACATTCTACAGCTTGAGTATTTGTTGTGCACATGTAATTACTGTGCACAAATAACTAAGTAGTGTGCACAAGAAAGTACTTTTTTTTCTCTCCAATGTTCTTTTAGGGGCTCAAAATCGCATTGTAAATTTTTTAAATAAAAATGAGGAAAGAAAAGCAGTGGCCTTGTTATAACACACCAAACCTCCTTGAGTTGTATATATACAGTATATATATATATATATATATATATGTGTGTGTGTGTGTGTGTGTGTGTAACCAGTACAGACCACAAGTTTGAACACACCTGCTCATTTAAAGAGTTTATTTTCATGATTGAGGATTGTAGATTCACACTGGAGGCATCACAACTATGAATTAACACATGTGGAATTATATACTTAATAATAAAGAAAAAAACATCTGAATATATGTGTTATACTCTAGGTTCTTCAAAGTAGCCACATTTTGCTCTGATTACTGCTTTGAACACACTCTGCATTCTCTTGATGAGCTTCAAGATGTAGTCACTTGAAATGGTTTTCACTTCACAGGTGTCCACTGTCAGGTTTAATAAGTGGACTTCTTGCCTTATAAATGGGTGGGACCCTCAGTTGTGTTGTGCAGAAGTCAGGTGGATACACAGCTGATAGTTCTACTGAATAGACTGTTAGCTGCTTTTTTTATTGCCATAATACAAATTCTAAGTAAAGAAAAAAAAATAGCCATCATTACTTTAAGAAAGGCCAGTCAGTCTGAAAATTGGGAAAACTTTGAAAGTGTCCACAAGTACAGTGGCAAAAACCATGAAACACTACAAAGAAACTGGCTGACATGAGGACCGCCCCAGAAAAGGAAGACCTAGAATCACCTCTGCTGCGGAGGATAAGTTCATCAGAGTCACCAGCTTCAGAAATTACAGGTTAACAGCACCTCAGATTAGAGAGCAGGTCAACGCCACACAGAGTTCTAGCAGCAGACACATCTCTAGAATAACTGTTAAGAGGAGACTGTGTGAATCAGGCCTTCATGGTAAAATAGCTGCTAGGAAACCACTGCTAAGGACAGCCAACAAGCGAAAGAGACTTGATTAGGCTAAAGAACACAATGAATGGACATTAAACCAGAGGAAATCTGTGCTTTGGTCCGATGAGTCCAAATTTGAAATCTTTGGTTCCAACCATCGTGTCTTTTTACGACGGAGAAAAGGTGAACGGATGGAATCTACATGCCTGGTTCCCACCGTGAAGAAAGCAGGAGGAGGTGTGATGGTGTGGGGGTGCTTTGCTGGGTTAGGGGATTTATTCAAACTTAAAGGCATACTGAACCAGCATGGCTACCACAGCATCTTGCAGCTACATGCTATTCAATCCGGTTTGGTTTAGTTGGACCATCATTTATTTTTCAACAGGACAATGACCCCAAACACACCTCCAGGCTGTGTAAGGGCTATTTGACCAAGAAGGAGAGTGATAGGGGGCTGCACCAGATGATCTGACCTCCACAATCACCGGAACTGAACCCAATCAGGATGGTTTGGGGTGAGCTGGACCGCAGAGTGAAAGCAAAAGGGCAAACTAGTACCTCTTGAAGCTCATCAAGAGAATGCAGAGTGTGTGCAAAGCAGTAATCAGAGCAAAAGGTGGCTACTTTGAAGAACCTAGAATAAAAGATATATTTGCAGTTTCACACTTTTTTGATAATTATATAATTCCACATGTGTTAAAGCACAATGAATTCAACATTCAAAGTGAAATATATATATATATATATATATATATATATATATATATATATATATATATATATATTTATAGAGAGAGAGAGAGAGAGAGAGAGAGAGAGAGAGAGAGAGAGAGAGAGAGAGAGAGAGAGAGAGAGAGAGAGAGAGAGAGAGAGAGATATCTATAATTTTTTTCACCTCACTCCTGTTTGTATTGGCTGTTTTCCCAGATATATCTCTAAAAAAATTCCAGATTTTTACCGCCACAACAATGAAGTTCCTCACACAGCACTCCGTTTCATAAATGTTCCATTTATTGCCTATGAGGTGGTAAAATACGCTTGATATTGCGATTAATTGTGCCATTGATGCACAGCGACATCTACTGGTCATTTAAAATACTGTCGTGAGTGTCAAATTTACCATGTCTGTTCTGTCGCAGTTAAATCTCTCTGATGACTTTATTCCGAGTAAACCCTGTAGCTATAAAAAATATAAATACATATTACATCTAAATATATGTATATATTTATATATGTATAAGACCTGCTTTAATTTCGAACACAAGCAAAAGCTACGATGAGGGCAGGAAATACAACGAAAGTTTCCCATGCCATGCCTTTATTTTGAAGGGCACCGGACCGGCGGGCTTGAAAGCCACGCCCACTTCTGAAACCGAAAATTGACTGGTATT